ATGCACTTAATGTTTATGCTAGGAATGACATCTCGGAACGGTTGCCTCAGGACAGTACAATTTCAAGCTGATCAGCAAAGTCACTATCATCAACACCGTAAAGCGCCAAAAAATGATTCGATATATTCGATTAACTAGACTCTGCCTCTAACGGCATATTGAAGTATCCGTATAACCCTATCAGGCCCAGCTTCGGATGACGAGTAAGCCCAACGCGGTTCAAAGTCTCTTCATCCTCTCCAGCATGGCAAAAAACAATCTGAAAATCGACCGTAGCCGGTCCAAGCAGCTCCTCCAAATCATCCGTCTCAATTAGAGTATACAAGGTTAAGGTTAGATCCACAAGCCGAAGATCGTTCCTTAGCCTCGCTATGGGGCCAGCGTTCGGGTCCGGCCGTCCATACTCGAAAATTCCACGCAAAACGGGAGCGATGGAGAGCACCCGTGCAGAGTTGTACAAGGGCTCGTAGCCGCGCGCATTTATATGGAACCCGTGGCGGCAGATGGTTTCATCGTCGTCCTCCTTAAACGCCCTTAGGATTTCCTCGACAACCTCGGTGGCGCTAGGGAGAACCGTATGCCGGCCCATGCTGACGTGGAAGAAGCCGTCAAATGTAAGGGTGGATGCTAGGCCTCTGTGTGGGATACGGGCGATACCTTGAGCCTCTAGCTCCTGGTCACTCCGGCCGGCATAGGATGGCAAAGCCCTATCACAGCTAATCCTGCGGCCGGCTTCCAGTATATAGCCTGGGATAGGTTCGATATTTATAGGAGCCCGTAATCTGAGCTGGGGCTCTCCTCCCACTGGAGCTGGTATCCGGGGTTCCTGGCCAAGCATTCGCGCCACAGCAAGGGATATTATGTTCGATGGTTCTCGAACGCCGTCTCCGTCATCACGCTGGACAGTTGTGAGCAAATTTTCGCCAATTTGGGTGGTCTTAGTTTTTCCGTACATAGTCAAGTCTAAAAGCGGCTCACTGCGTAAATCTCTGTTGCTTCGAGGATCACCGCTCTCCGCTAGCCGCCAGCTTAGTTCGAGCGCTTCGTTGCTCAAAACATAATCTTCAGATGACCGAAGGGCGTCAAACCATCTAGACTCTGCACATTTTACCGCTCGACCGATCGCACAAGCAGCGTATCTTAAGTTCTTATGTTTCTCCTGCTCTAAATGAGCAAGCGGCTTTAGGGTTTGATGTGCCTGAAGAATGTTCCTTGCCAGCTGCTCCCAGTTTCCCGTACGAAGAGCCTGTTTTGGTCCTCGTGGAATTTCCATATAGATGTTATACTTGATGATCTGCCATGCAATGGCGTTGAAATCGAGCCGAAGCGCATTGCTTGCACCCTTGAGACTGACGACCAGGCTAGTTTGAGTCTCCGTCAGCGGTGACGGCGTCTTTTGAATTCTAGCTTGTCGCACGAACCAGGCAGGGAGCGGAAGAAAAGGGTAGTTCTTGAGGATTGAAGCGATATAGCTCCAGTCATACTGCCTTCCGGTTGCTGGGTCGATTTCGTTGAAATGTTCTGCAGGGAAGCAGATCTCGCAGCGAAGAAGGTTGGTTAAAACGTCGAATGCATCGCCAAACTCTTCATATATAGAGAAATCGTGTGGGAACTCTTCAGTGCACGCATCGGCTAAGATCCTTAGACCCTTGCAGACGCATTTAAGCGGCTGAAATTCGAGATGGCAGATTCTTGGGAGGTAGGCCGTGTGCTTTAGAAAGTTCTTTAAAGACTTTACGGTCGCAGTAGACGGCTTCTCTGGATCATTCAGCCATCTGCGGCAGCATTCAAGTCCCCTAGTAAGAAATTCTTTTTGTGTTGGCTCGAGGTCTGTGTGGCACATCATGCGCTCAAAATCTTCAACTGCTCTAGCCACATCGATATACCTGATGTCGTTTCCTTCTGGAAAGGACCTTTGCTCCCACGCGGGGTTCGGCATGATACTTGATAAATAGAGCCTGTTCCGAAGATAGTCGTTAATTTTGATACACGTCGACTCCAACGCCATGTGCTGATACCAGCCATGTTGGTGAAAAGCGGCTGGGGTCCGAGCCAATACGTACCGGTAATTGACAATTGAGTCTTTAATATATCCTTGGAAGCTGTATATGTTTATAGGGAGTATTTGTAGGTAGGAAGGAAAGGGATAGTATAAAGTCCATGAAAGAAGGAAAGGTAGAATGTAGGAGGAGGATATATAATAGCATAGTGAGGAATCTTTCACAGAAATTAAGCGAAGGCCTGAAACCTGAGAATGGAATCACTGCCAACGGCATCTCCCGGTGTCCCTTCACAGGGGATGTGGCCATTGTGTTCTTGGGTATGTTTTTGATAGCATCTAGCCCGAGGAGAAATGTTTGACCGAGCAGGAGATGGTAGTCACATAGGCATGGGGGGGGATAAGGGGCCTTTTATATAGCATCAAAAGCAGTGATAGTAAAATACCATTAGTGTACAGTCATACAGTTCTAGAATGGTAGAAAATAATGAACAAGTGTAAGTTCATTTAGAATCATATAGATATTGTGCAGAAGTGCCCGGAAATACAAGAACCCAAACCGCAAATGCGCTCAAAAAGACCAAAGCACCAGAATATATGTATAATATCATGCAAGAAGGCTTTAGGCCGTTGAAGGGTATCTTAATATCAACGCCTCATGTTGCGGGAAGAGTCAAAAAAGTGAAATAAAGATCAGCAATTTCTGAACTATCATCGGCTTAAGGTTGATTCTCGTTGTCCTTGCGCTGGTCGGGCTGAGGTGTCTCAGACAATGCGGGAGAATCCTTTGTTGCGGGTTCAGAAGAAGAAGATGTTCTTGCAGGTGGGCTCACAATAGTTTTAGATTTGATGACACCAACGAGATGGTCTCCTAAGTCACCAGCTCCGTCAAGTTTATCCACTTTTGACTTGAAGAATTGCGCATCAGATAGCATCCTTAGCCATTGTTAGCAACTGAGCATATTTTCTATGAAGGCTGAACCCACCTTTGACGAGCTGTCTCAGAATGTAAGGTAACTGACTGAAACGCCTTCGTCCACTGGTCTCGATAATTTGAGAATACGGGAGCCATTATCATCATCACAGTTGTCTCGGGTAGATGTTTAGTTAAAACTTTGTGAAGAGTTTCGGTTTCCTTTGCTAGTACCTCCATATAGGGGCTGACCGCATTTACATCCTTTTGCAACTCCCAGTCGATCTTTTTCATTGAGTTTGCATTGATAACAGAACGGGAATTCATGATATCAACTACCTTTTCATGAATTCCGGACTGATGGTCCTGGTAGAGCCTTCGTATTTTATCGAATTCAGCCATAAGCGGAGGAGACGTGCAATATCTGCGGATAAACTCCCGGACATACGGGGTGAGGGACATAATAAGACTTAAAGCTTGAGATGCAAGTGACAGGTGTTTGGCTGTAATATTTTTTAACCCAGCACTTTTCGTTGCCCCAGCACCAAGGATTAATTGCGAAAGTCGAGAGTTGAAGAGTTTGAGGCATTCCAAAAAGTTCGAAGCAATATCTGGGATCATGCTCGGTATTCCTGTCATCAAATGCTGGTATTCTCCAATGACTTTAACCATCAGGATGGCCGACTCAGGCAAAATGTACTTTTGTTCATCGACAATAGCGCAACGGATGCGATCCTTCGCAGGAGCAGATACACCATTGCCATTGACCGCCGACCCATTGGTCACAGGTATAGATTCGGTGTCATCTGTCTCAGCTTCCCATATTTTTGATGATGCTGTCCACGCGTCAATTTCCTCAGTGCTCGCCAGAAGAATTCTGTTGAGCAAGACCGTTTCCGAATCGCCAAAGTCTTTTGCAACCCACTTGTCAGAATCCATAACTTGGACAATACGGTGTCTGTGGCGATCTGAGAAGCTACCAATATAAGCTTTGATTTGATTATCCACCACGGTTTTCAGAGCTGCACCACTCCTCCCTGAAATCGCTTCGCATTCGTCAGCAAAGAGCCTATTCAGGCTGAAATATTTCAAGAACTGTGGCAAGGTCAACTGCTCAATTTGCTCAAGTCGCACTTTGAGTACTTTTACTATCTGCGATTGAACGATATCGACAGCTTGTCCAAGTAGGCTCGACATGTCCAATACTTGCAGAATTTCATCCTTGGCTATTGTAGCCGCTTCTCCAGGGCTGGCAACGTCTTCAAAGTTTGGCATAGATGGACTTCTGGTTGGAGATCGGACTGAGACTGGATTCGCAGAATGCTCTAACCCGCTCGTGATATCAAGCAAAACCTTCACTTGGACACTGAGGCGTCTGAGGGATTCGCTGATACCAGTATAGACCTTCGTCAGCATGTTATGGGCATCATCGGGGTCCAAGGCTCGTAAGTTGCGAGCCAGGATGGTAGATTTTTCTTGTTGAGTGAGCTGTCTCCCACCGTGGGTTGACGCTGACATAATTGATTCAGCGTCATCCTCGCTGGAGCTTGGTAGCTGTCGTCTGATGATGCTTTTCATTTCTCGTAAAATTACATTTTTAAAGGCCGTTGCGGCGGGCATGGTATGGCGGGAACGCCCAAGACCGGCCAAGTCTCTACCTAGCCTCGATCGCAGTCCATCATCCATGTTGATGTACCTTGGTGATGCTAGGGGTTGACGGCTAGCCCGGCGAGATCGTTGAAACGTGTCCCCTAGTCGGAGGAGCGTAACCTCAGGTGGCACAGCATCGACATGATCTCGGAGGTCCTGAAGAAGGGTCTCTAGAAAACGAGTTTCATAGCCCGTCCCAATTCTATACCGAAGCTGAGCTAGGTCATCAGACGCTCCTTCTAAGGCTTTAATCCCACGCAAGTCAATAATCGACTCACCCGCCAGCTCTACCCGTGGTCTTATAGCGCTTTTACCAGCAATCAATCTTTCAGCGTCGTCAAGTTCATCAATGGCGTTTTCGATATCTCCCTCCTGAACCATTTGTTCACATTGAGAAACTGACGTGATCACGGCCTGTAACTGGGTAACAGCGTTGGCAAGTTTGCGAACGTTTTCTCGTCGTCGACGGAGATTGACGACCCGAAGCCCTCCTAATGCCATATCATTGTCCAACTTGGCTAGGTCGTTCCGTAATGTTTGAATTTTTTGTACGGAAGCTTCGGCTTCGGCTTGCAGTTCTTTCAAGGAGCCTAAGGCGGAAAAGAATGAGGTAGACGCGGTTGATATAGAAGAAATGAGATGAATCTCAACGGTGTCCAAGTACCAGGATAGCTTTTCTTGTAAGATTGCATTGGTTGCGAGGGCTTTCCGCTTTGTTGGTTGAATTTCAACCAGACTGTCAGCTGCACTAGATGGTTTCTGGGAACTGATCACTTCGGAACGTTCGGAGACGATATCGAAGGTCCTTGGATTCTCAAGTTGAAAATTCTCGTCAAAATAGATCTTGGGGATAGTTGATAAAGGGGTAGTAGATGGTCCGCGGGCCTTGTGGCTCAGTGCCGAGCCTCTCCGGCTGAGTGCATCCGCTGATGACGGGTACAGTGAGCTTGAAGTCGACTGGCGCCTATCTAGCTGTTGAGATAAGATAGTATCCAACTCAGGGCTCTTTGGTGTCTCAGCATTCTGCCGGTATGGAGAGTCGTTTTTATTTTCGATTTCCTTCGAGCGGTGTAGAGAGTCGTAGTGGGTTCCGATCTGCGAGATGTACGACTGAAAGGACGCAGATTCCACCCGTGGAATATTCGTTAACGTGACAGGGGGAATATCCCTGGTGGATGGGGGCTTATAGCCACTTGAGGGGGCGGAAGTGTGCGGAAGCAAGCCAGTTCTGACGATTGGCGGCTGCAGGAGAGTTGAGATGGCTGGCAACGGGAAAGGGGTTAGTACCTGTCAGCTACAGAGGTATCCACGCATACCATTTTGGCCGGATTCTGCTATCGAGCCATTCTGCATTGTCAGAATGGAAGCAATCCCTGAGCTCGCAATTGAGCTAGCTGTGGAGCCCCGGCGGGAATCATATCGAGGCCGATAGAACGAGCGGTTGGGATCGGATTGAAGAAAGGGCAGCTGAGGTAGCGAGGAGGTTGATGACGGGGACGTTATGCTTTCCACCGATTTTCGAGAATTCGGAGAGGTCATGTCGCAATCGGAAGAAGGTCGATCTGTTAGTTAGGTGGTCACTGGGCGAGCAGGGAACAACATGGTGGTTGTCAACGAGATCCACCGGGCACGACAGGGTTGGAGTACGTTCCAGGACGTTTGCGAAGATAGGATCCAAGCCGTAAGCAAGCTGGCAGCTGTTCTCAGCAATGTGTCTGGACCTCTTCACTATTAGATAGTCGATGCTGGCAATCGAGTGAACCCAACAGAGGCGTGGCTGGAGCCAATCAGCATGCGGCAGTTCTGCAAGCCACAAGGACACCGCCTTGCACTGGAAGAACTATTTCCCGTAACACGCCAAGAGTGCCAAGAAAGCACTTTACGCGTTGAAGTTGACGCGACGCGCATGAATTTCTGAAGCGAGCACGGCGGACAGCTTTGAACAGTCCATCGGGATTCTTGATTTACTCGGTAGAACTATTGCTGATCTTGGAATTTTACGAGTTTATGACCGACAATGGACAGACGAAGCGCCTACTCCCTCAGTGTCCTCCCCGCAGTGGCTGACGGCCCTGATGAATCACGGACCGCCATTCAAACTCAGCTACGAGAATTCATACTGGCTTTTCAGCTAGACAACACTTTTATCTACAGGTGCGTGAGTGAGATGCTGGCTGTAAAGATGGGTTCCCGTTCGCTGACATGACATGCCATATAGAGACCAGATTCGACAGAATATCCTTGCGAAAAAGTATTATTGTGACGTCGATGTGGCCCATTTGATCGCATATAACGAAGACCTAGCTCACAGGCTCACCACCAACCCGCTAGATACAATTCCACTGGTCAGTTATACCCCAAAGCCGCAGTTTGACCTGGCAGTGACCCTGACCTTGGGCTACAACTACAGTTCGAAGCTGCTCTCAAGCAATGCACCCAGCGAATAGTATACCCATCTCAAAAGGACGTTGAGTTGCCCGAACACCAGCTCCTCCTTCATTCAAGCGCGTCCCATATCACGATAAGAGACCTCAATGCTACGAACGTGTCACATCTAGTACGAATACCCGGAATCGTGATCGGTGCTTCAACGATATCCTCCAAAGCAACCGCCATCCATATCAAATGCAGGAACTGCGAATTCTCAGAAAACCTTGTTGTTGATGGCGGGTTTTCGGGATTATCACTACCACGAACGTGTGGAAAAGAGAGACTTCCAAACGAGGATATGTGTCCGATGGACCCCTACGTGGTTGTGCACGAGAAATGTCAATTCATCGATCAACAAGTTCTCAAACTCCAAGAGGCTCCGGATCAAGTTCCTGTTGGAGAGCTTCCTCGTCATATTTTGATATCCGCCGATCGATATCTTGCCAACCGTGTGGTACCTGGTTCTCGATGCACGGTGATGGGCATCTTCTCTATCTACCAATCCAAAGGGAAGAAAAGCGCGACAAGTGGAGCAACCGCAATCCGAAACCCTTATGTCCGAGCCGTCGGCATTACCTCTGACATTGACCATACCGCAAAGGGCAGTTCGATCTTTTCTGAAGAAGAAGAGCAGGAGTTCCTGGAAATGAGCAGAAGGCCCGATCTCTACAACGTGTTCGCAGATTGCATAGCGCCGTCCATTTACGGCAACCATGACATAAAAAAGGCAATAGCGTGTCTTCTCATGGGTGGATCCAAGAAGATATTACCCGATGGCATGAAGCTGCGAGGGGACATCAACGTTCTCCTGCTCGGTGACCCGGGTACCGCTAAGTCACAGCTTCTGAAGTTTGTTGAAAGAGTGGCTCCAATAGCTATATATACGTCTGGCAAGGGTTCATCGGCTGCAGGTCTTACCGCTTCCGTACAGCGTGATGCGACTACACGGGAATTCTACCTCGAAGGAGGTGCAATGGTGCTTGCAGACGGCGGCGTTGTATGCATTGATGAATTTGATAAGATGCGGGACGAAGACCGTGTCGCGATTCATGAAGCCATGGAGCAGCAAACGATATCTATTGCAAAGGCCGGCATCACCACCATTTTAAACGCCCGTACCTCTGTACTGGCTGCGGCCAATCCGGTATTCGGACGGTACGATGACATGAAAACTCCAGGCGAGAATATCGATTTTCAGACCACGATTTTGTCCAGATTCGACATGATCTTCATCGTAAGAGATGAGCATGAGAAAGGACGGGATAAGAAAATGGCGAGGCACGTAATGGGCATTCACATGGGCGGTAGAGGAGTTGAGGAACAGGTTGAGGCGGAGATCCCAGTGGAGAAAATGAAGCGGTATATCAGCTACTGCAGATCGTAAGTTCTTTTCTCCGTCTCGCGCATGAACATGAAATGCTTACATTACCAACAATAGTCGCTGCGCACCTCGCCTCTCTCCTGAAGCGGCGGAGAAGCTGTCGTCACATTTCGTTTCGATCCGCAGACAGGTGCACAAAGCCGAGTTGGACGCCAACGCACGGTCGTCCATCCCCATTACAGTCCGTCAATTAGAAGCCATCATCCGAATCACAGAGTCTCTCGCCAAGTTGAGTCTATCGCCGATCGCCACCGAAGCTCACGTCGATGAGGCGGTGCGATTGTTCCTTGCGTCCACCATGGATGCAGCCGTGCACGGCGAGGGCCATGCAAGCAAAGAGCTGATGGCCGAGGTTGGAAAGGTGGAAGACGAGTTGAAGCGACGGTTACCGATTGGCTGGAGCACGAGTCTGGCTACATTACGGCGCGAATTTGTGGACGGGAGAAACTATACGGAGCAGGCGTTGAACAGGGCTCTCGTCATTCTGCAGCGGAGAGAAACAATACAGTTCCGTTCAGGAGGATCGCAGGTGTATCGGAATGGGCCATGAATGGATTGTAATAAAGGGTCGGTCCCTACGTTTTCATTCTTCGTTTAGCCCTCGTGATTATCTGTTATATCGCGCAACATTTGGGCACACATACGGAGTACATAGGCTGAGGCAACAGGAGCGGGGAAAAGGGGGAACTGCATAGTTTCTACGGAATCGACATTCAGCATTCTTTGTGATTTATTTAATTTTTTTTTTTTAATGTGCCGTCAGTTGTGCAGGTCGAACCTGTCACTGCTGTCAGACAATCAAGGAAAAGCAAAAGGCGCCGGACGCACGGTCGATCCCGAACCAGTAGATCGGTCAGAGCGATCCCCAAAACCATTCCCAGGTCCCGGTACCACTGTAACTAATCGTCGACTCTGTTACCAGGTTTCAGCAGCAGTAGCATGTGTCACTTCAGACTGCGGAATGTTCTTGCCGGCTCTCATAGCCAGCGGCTGCCCCATCGACATCAAAAGAAAGGCCTTCTTGCCATGAGGCAATTTTGCCCTTGTGTCGACTATATCCTCTAGGCTAAAACCAACTGAACGTCCTTCTTGCTCGCAACTCCTCCGTACAAAGTTCGCACCCGCTTGCTCTCTGGGTGGCCCGCCACCCATGAAAAAAAA